CACAAAGCATTCTCTGATTTCATTGTTCAACATATTTAAAAGGCTACAGCAAATTGATCTCCTACGTCTGCTGTAAGGTCACACCAATTGATAACCTTTACAAGCTCTGATTATATGAGCCTGTCTGTGTCTTACAGATAGCACTTTGTGAATTAATCCTCTGAAGGCAAATATATTGTAAGTAGCTTGTTATCTCCAAAGCACTAAATTGAAGAATACATGGGATTATATTGACAGAAATTACATTTTCTATAATAAGAGTTTAATATATCTGAAGCCCCTCTCTTTGGTCTCTAGTCACTCTGTCTCTGTGAAAAGCTGGTTAATGCAGGTGCAATAAACCATCAAAACCAAATTTATTCACTAAAATGGATTACCCTTGTAATCAAAGTCTCAGCAATATTAATCTCTGACACTTTTGGAATAGTAAGAGAAAAAAATTGTCTAGATCTCTTTCACATCATACTTGGAGCTTGCCTTGGCCATTTCCTGAATATTACTGCAAAGATGATAAGATTTCCATATCGTAAACACTAATCTAAAATTATTGGGACAATTAATTAGATTCAGTTAATTTTACACAGCATTAGATTTCAATATAATTTAAATGCTGTTTCAGTGTGAAGCACGCATTTCATATCATGAACAAATGCAACACACTAAATTGTTTTTTTAAACTGCATTCCCCCCCCCCCCCATTAAGAGCTATACTATTAGAAACAATAAAAACTTAATATATTTTAAGAAAATTTATTTTCCCTCCTAAACCAAGATTTGGGCATTTATATTTCTGCTTGTTCTTTTTATTAATTAGCTTATTAGTAATTATGTTAACCAGATTTCTCCCTCATGGCTTGAGAGACATTAAAAGGATTTAGACTGCTTCTATATTCAACTGCAGCAATTCTGAATAATATTGCATGAAACGGTACACTAAAATGAGTATGAAATAACTATAATAATGGTCAATCCATTTGTAATTTCCTAGCTGTTGAGAAATTGATTTCATGAAAGGTGGTCTAAAACAAATCCATTCTAGCCAATCACCATACAAACACTTACAAAAAGAAACTATTTCCACTGCTGTGTAAAAGCCAATTGGGATAACACAAGGAGAACAAAATCACTGGCTCCATGAGCTGAAAGCATTCTCTAGGGGCTAATGTTGGATTTGCCATCCTAAACTAGGAAAGAAAGGAAGTTACTAAAAGGTGGATCATCATAATGCAAACCATTAACTGCAAGTTGCCAGAGGCTGTAATTCTGATACTAGGTAAATACTGAAGTATAATTACTTACCAATTGTTCACTTGAAGTATTGTCAGCCCTGTGTCTTGTGCCAACTGCTTTTTCTGTTCTTCTGAAGGGTAAGGGTGCTGTAGGACAAGTAAATATGCATAAGTATCTCTACCTATGTATCTATAGTGTGGGTGTTTATTAAACAGTTTTATTAGCCATTTTCTTGAATCATAAAAATGTAGTATCTATAATTAAAGATGAAAATGCTGAGGTGTGTCAGTCTCATAATTATTAATGGACTACTACATCATATAATTAATGGCAGTAAAAGACAAGTCAATTATAATGATTAGCGAAGTGTAGAAAGAACTGCCTGAGATACAAGTACTTTGATGCTAAATTAAGACAGTTGTGCCAGAACTAAATTTTAACTCTTCTTTAAACGACTCATGCCTACTGTCACTTTCTGCATCTGGAATAAATAACTTCTTTCATATTCATGTTTTATACCAATGTTTGGCATATTTCTTTCTTGAATGCATTTTGTTCTAATGATTGTCCAGCTGTCTAACTTTTGATTAAAATCAGTGACTGTATAAGTGCTCAGAATTCAACTGCTGTTAAGATTAAGGAATACAAATAATACATCAGAAATTCCACTTTTGCTGGGATAATTTCAGCACTAAGTTTAGGAAGATTCTTGCTTTTCCATAGCTTCATGTTTGTATGAGTTCATTATATGCTGATATACTGATATAATTTAAAGTGAAATTATACACATTTTAAGACAGAACTCAGAGGCAATATTGTTTTCAGCTAATTATTAGCCAAATTTGAAGTTCATCTTTCAATCAAAAAAATACCACCCAGTGTTGGCATTGCTATAACCATAATTCAAAAAAGTTAAAGATTTTTAGTTCTAAAAAATAATAATCAAAGGATGAATGCTTTTTTCATATTTTCTCCTGAAAAAAATACAAAAATCATAACCACATCAACATTTTAAAATTTGCCTTAATAAATAAATATTGTGGCAAGTACATTTTAAGATGAAATGCTGTGCAGCTACAGGCCATTTACATGAAAAGTAGCTTATATACATTGTTTTAGAGAAATAGTAAAAGAAAATAAACATTGGAGACTTCTTACTATGCCTTACAGTTCTATGATAAATGAGTCTCCAATGTAAGTGTTGCCAGTTTCTTAGGTTCAGAGCACTGATCATTTGTCTTTGGCTTTGTTAGTATAAGCTTTTGGCAGGCCATAATGCAAAGATTCACATTTTTAAAATAATATCCAACAATACAATCGGTTCTTCCTCCCCAATTATAACTTTACCTGCAAAGATAACATGGGACCGGTAGGATTCATTATGCAAGAAAAATGAAGTAAATTATCCCTCTAGGTTGCTTGTGACTTCCAACATTTTATCTGGAAATGTTGACTATGTGATATTTGAAATACCTTGCACTTGACACTTGCAAGTTATTTGTCAAGCCCTATTGTTAATGCTCACTTTTTCTAGTAGTACTTATCAGTTTAGTTCTAAGACAAGAATGGGAAAATTCCAGTGATCTGGAACTCACTAGTTTGCGGGAACCAAGATTCATAGTATGGAAACTATGTTATGTATATAGACATAGGATTCCATATGTTTTGAGATGAGGCATATTCTGTTTTGTTTTTGAACTGTATTTATCTATTTCAAGGCTTACAAGATGGTGGAAATCGATACAACCTGCACTCAGAAATTATGGTTGTAGGGGCGTTGGATCACTTCATTCCCTAGGAACCTATGTTGTCCACACTTTACAATAGTTTGTAAGATTGGATTAATGGCCCTAGCTTTTGATATTATCAAACTATGCTGTCACTGAAGAATGGTAGCAGGAATTGAATATGTCTAGCTAGTCTAGTGAAAAGAAGGACTAGGGGTGACTAGGGTATTCCAATATTTAAGGGGCTGCCACAAAGAAGGGGGGGGGGGGGGGGACAACCTATTTTCCAAAGCATTAGAAGGCACGACAAGATAGTTGGAAGCTAACCAAAGAGAGAAGCAACCTCGAACTAGGAAAAAAATTCCTGACAATGAGAACAATAAACCAGTGGAACAGCTTGCCTTCAGAAGTTGTGGGTGCTCCATCATTGAAGGCTTTTAAAAAGAGACCGAGCAGTCAATTGTCTGAAATGGTATAACTTGAGCAAGGGGTTGGACTAGAAAACCTCCAAGGTCCCTCCCAACTCAGTTATTATTCCATTGTGTTCTATTCACTGGACTCATTTTGATCATTTTCTGTAGTATTGTAATTTTTCTTAAATTTGAGATTATATTCTCAAATTGTTTTGGGGAGCTTACACTCAGGTTAATGGGGCTTTATTTACTTAGATGTAACTGCTGCTTAATCTAATATTCAAAATCATTTTCTTTCTCATATTTCTTTACCACCTTGCAACAGATCCAGTTTTATATAACTCAGCAACCTATACCTAATTCCATGCAGGAAGCAAAAATGTACGAGATAGCCTCAAGCTACTGAGACTGAGAATTCTATCTCCATGAACCAATTTTCAATTGTTCTGGACCCTTTTGAAATAGGTGCAAGAACAGATAAAATTAGCCATCTGAATAATATAACTACTCTAAACAAAATGCATGCACATACAGCCGTATGCCTAAGTATACTAAGATATTAGAACAAAATTATTTCAAATTGTGGTATGTTTTCAGTCATCTGATCCTTCTTTCATGCTTCTCTTTCCTCCCCTCCCCCACTGTCTGGTTATTGGCTTAACATCAATGTTCAGTTTCATGAAAAAAACTGTAATTGCGATAATCACATGAAAGCCATTATTTCATGGAGATAATCTCTCCCAGAGGAAAAAAATCATGAGGCTGGTTCTTTAAAAAAAAATCCAAAATGTTTCATATGCTTGAAACATTAATTTTTATAATACCATTATTGTAGGAAGTAAGAATTATTCCTTCTACACTGCAAGAACAGCACTAAATAGACCAAGAATGAACATGCCACAGGCTAGGCCATGTTAAAAACATTCAAAGCATTGCTGATTTCTCATCCTTGAGGCAAGGAAAGCACATGCTACAGGCTACAAGGCTGCAGCATAAGAATGGGTGATATTCCAGATAACTACTATTTTAACATTAAAACAGTGGAAATTCATTATGCAGAGTGGCAGATTTTAATCTATCAGTCATTCCTACTTTACATAATCATCTGGTTGTTGTTGTTATTGTTCCAAAGAAGGGAATCCTATTTAAAATCAGTCAATTAGTAACATCCCACTGGTTTTAACTAAGAAGCATACTTATCACCGAGATCACTTTAAGATATCAAAGGAGATTTGGCCACTGTTCAATAAACAGTGACTTGAAATCTTTACTTTTGATGTGTACATTAGCCTCATACCATTATCTCTTAAAAGCTTAATTATTTGCACACAATTGATCAAGATGGAACTTGAGAAAGGATTCACTCAAGTCTCTGGGAGAGCTGCAACACATTAGAAGAGAAAACAAAATCACATTTAGATTTTAAAATAAGAATTAGTGATTAGGACCATATATAAAGCAGAGCAGTAGCCAGAGCTATTCTTTCTGGAATGTTTTTCATTTGATCTGCATTAACACTTTCAAAATGGAGGAAAGCTATAAAACACTGATTATATATGGTCAGATTTATGCTCCCTTCCCAGGATCAATCCAATGCATATTGAAAGGACCGTCTCTCTCTCTCCCTCCCTCCCTCCCTCTCTCTGTATATAGAAACCTTTCAAATTCCAGGTGAGCAAATTCAGTTCAAGCTTCACAACAGAATTCTGATAGCAGTGACTTTTATGAATTTATTATTTATTCAACAGTAAATCAAAAATGCTTTTCCTAACATTCATTAAGATTAAATCAGAAGTTATTTCATACTATTTCAAAAATCATCACCATCATTTTAGAGGTTGTCTACCCATTGCAGGATGAAGGCGTCTTCCACATGTTTCCAGCCAATGTGGTCCTGAGCTTTCTTTTGCCAATCAGTGTCCTTGCTCCCTCTTTCTTGCTTTAGGCCTCTTTTATGGGCCACTTTTTAATCAAGTGAAATAAATTCTATGACTGCCTTAGTTATACAATACATTTCAGAATATAGTGTACATTGACACATTTAAGGAAACAAGAAAGGCTAATTCCAAGTGGCTTGCAGGGGAGTTTTGGCAAAATTGAAGGCATCTCTGGGAAAACAGAGCAAATAACCACAACTAAATTCAAAAGCCTCATTTTCTTATCACTTCTTAAAGCTATTAGGCCCCTTCAGAATGACAATTTTTAAATGTCGTCAGGGTGAGCTTATCTTCAACTCTGACCAACAGAAAAATAATTACAAGCTTGCAAACTTAAATAATTATAAATAAACAGCAAAAAGGTAAATAACATTTTGATCTAAGAAAGATACAAGTGAATTCAAAGTCCAGATGAATTTGGAATATTGACTTTTACTATGTTTGTGAAAATAACAATAAAACGGAATAGCTTCTCATGGGAAGCAAACTTATTCTGGCTAACTTTGCTGAGACTTTTTACTTCATGCAAGGAAAGCAGCGGAAGCAGCAGAAGTCTTTCTTTCTCTCCCCCAAACCCCACCAGAAATGAGTCTTTGTGGGGATGACATTTCTCTGTGGACCACCAAAATTTTCTCACGGAACACCAGTGGTCCTCAGCCCACTGGTTGGTGACCACTGGTTTAAAGCATCGAAGCAGAAGGAAAAAAAATGGGAAAACATTCTTCGTGTTAGTTAATATTGGGACCTAGTAAATGACCCAAAACATTATAACATCAGAAACATTAAAGGAGGTATTTGAAGAATGGAGCAGAAGTAGTAACCGCATTATCATCAATGTTGGTAATGATATCTGCTATTATGAATAGACTATATCCAAAAGATATTAATGAAGAAGTGACAGATGTAAACCAAATTTTATCTGAAAAGACAGAGAAAGTACCCAAGATAGTCCTACAAATGACAGGCCAAGATAATGATTGGAAAAACAATACTTGATATACAAAAGAAAACGTGGCTTCAGTTTTCTATAAGTTTAATTTGTTCAAAACTCTTAATAGAAATTGTATTT